AATTTGTGATTATCATGATTAAAATCTTGAGTTTAAGTTTGAAATAACATTGAAATAAGAAGCCACTTTCTGTTATGTGTAAAATTTTGTTCAATCACTTGTGTCTTTATTTCAGTTAAGGCATGTGTTATGTTTTTTGATTCCTCATAATATTTTTTTTCATCCAAAAGAATATTTATATGTTTTCAATTCAGGATCATAACTATTTGTATGTAGGTGTGCTTGAATCATGGGATAAGGTTTTGCATTTCAAGGAAGCCATATAAGTCACAGGAAGACCTGAAAGCTGCATTCAAACACCTTATTCGGTTGGAAGTGGGCTTCGAGGACCATTGATATAGGATATATCTTAGGATTGTAATGAGTTTTTGGAATTTGTTACATTGGTCTTTTACTAATAATAATATATATTGTTTTTCGTGCAACAATTTCTCATTGGAAATCTTTTATATATTTCTTTTACAAAATATTTGTACATTCCGACGACTTTTTACTCTTGATAATTGCTATAAATGTCGTCAGAAAAACAATTTTTTCGACGCACTTCCATGTTGGAAATGCACAATTCCGACAAATTATATTCATCACAAATAGTAATTTAGGGTCGGAAATATTATTTACGGCAAATAGTCATTGGTCGAAAATATATTGTTGCAAAACAAAAGATCTCGATAAATAATTATTTCCGACAGTTGCATAATTATTTGCGACCAGAGTTATGGTTGGAAATGAATTTGTATCATTGTTTTGAAAATGCATTTTCGACAGAAATATAAGCAATATCGATGAAATATGGGCGTCGAAAAATACATTATTTCCGACGGAGTGGTTGGAAAAAAACTATTTGCAACCAGCGTTTTTTCGACGACTTCCGACGGCAATTTGCCGTCAAAAAAGGATATTTTCGACTACAAAACACCTTTTCTGACCATAAATCACCATCGCTAAAGGCATTCTTTTTTGTAGTGTATATGAATGGCATTAGCATAACCTAGAAGGCTAAGTGATTTATGAACAAGATGGATTTATAGAGCAGAGGTACTTTCTAGAGAAGCAATCCCAAAAGAGCCATTACTTGTTTTTTTCGTGATTTTTTGGGTGATTTGAACATGAGACTTGTTTCAACAATGTTAGAACAAAGAATGAATTGGCAATGTGTGTTTGGTTTGGTGGATATAAAAAACAACTTCATTACATATGTATGAATGACTTGAGACAAATTTGAGCCCAGCGTGGATTTGCAGAGACATTAAATAAGTATCCTGCAAAATGATAGTTGTGCCTTGAAGTCAGGGGATTGGGAACATATATAGACAAGGCTGAAGGCAATCACAAGGATTAGCACCACACATACAGACTGATACTGCAACAGAAACCCTAGCTGCTGCTGCTGCTGCTGATACTGCTATATGTAGCAGAGACGCGGGGATACGTTTGGACCACGCTGTAGCTCTTGGTGGTAACAAGAAAGGCCAAGGACTGGCGAAGAAATAGATAAACAGTAAATTAGCATGGGCATGGCCGCAACCTAGCTGTAAAGACTCCGCTAGCCCTGGAGAACCTATTGTATCAGCAATAAACCAAACTTTTAATCCACTTGGTCATATCATATTCATATGTGGGGATTTTTCAGTTTTTCTTTTTTAATAAGAATGGATGAACGACGTCATCACACAGCTACATCTTACAACTCGAAATCATGCCCATTTCTTGTCTCAAACAAAGTCACCCTAGCTTGCTTTCACTATTTTCTAAAGCCCTTTTGGCCTTTTGGCCTTTCATAAACTTGTTTATGTGTCACTCTCTACTTTACGTACGTTAATCTGTATTATATCCCCTCCTCCGTATCATTATTATTGATAATGTGTCCACATATATATATATATATATAGAGAGAGAGAGAAGAGTGAGACAGAGAGAGATGGTTCTTTCTATTTAGAGGACGAAGATATATTTTGAGGTGTCTACTCCGTGTCGTATTTCTATGATTCAAACCATCAATTATACATGTTTGTTATTTGAGAGATGATTGTGTGAAAAAAAATAATCAAAATACAATGCATAGTATTAATAGACTCTTCAAGGATGTAACTTAAATAAGCCAGTATATCCATCCTGCATATACGGTACCCCACCCACCTTCCCCTTTGTTAAACACGAATTTGTCTCTTTCTCTCCCCCCATGGCCACCAGCTCATGACTCGTGAACTTTATATATTATGCACAAAGCCAGAAAACAAGGATGATTTGATTGCTTATAATTGTCCAACCAATTCACCTCCATCTTCTATACGATACCACCAAGTTCACAACTCACAAGCTTAGCAGTGCAGGACATTAAAGTCAGAGATACAGAAAGACACCCGGAGATTTGGATTAAGCCCTTCAGCCTCTACAGCTAACTTGCTACAGTCTACTGAGAAACTGTTTCCTTCTTCATTAATTGTTTATTGACGCGTCAACGTTAATTTTTCAATTAATTTGGATCATCAGACAGAGACACAGAGTTCCAAAACGATCTTGAGTTTTGGCCCAACCCACCCCTTCCAGGCTGCAGCATATTATTCATTACTTCAAACCTTGCTCATGAGTCATGATCGATCGATCCCATTTGGAAACTTAAATATAAAAGCTCCATAAATATTGCACTTTTTCGTTCTAGGGCTAGGGCTAGGGCTAGGGCTGGGTAACCGTACATATTAATAACAAAGGCATTAATTCTTCAGTCTTAAAGATTTAGCTTCCCATATTCAAACTTGTTTGAATGCCACCACATTCCACGTTAAACAAAACAAGCATGCCGCAACTTTTGCAAACTAGATTTTATCAGTAGAGGCCAGCCAGCCAACAACCTTTTTGTTAAAAAAAGTAAAAATTATTATTATGAATTAGAATCTTGACGTACGAGATGTGAGAGGTCAAATCAGGTAGTCTGGCTGGCTGCCTAGGTCCCATACTCCAAGTTAACAATCTGAACAAACCTCCTTTTTCCTTCACACGGTTGTTTGACTGTCATCGTTTGAATATCGTTTCAATACATAAATATATATATATATATATATTTGTTGCATTGCATTCACATACAGCCTTAGATCGACATTCATGCAAGCATCATTCTTTTTCCTCGTTTTGCTGTGCTTTCGTTGAAACTTATGATTATTTCACTCGTATGTTTGACATGAAGAAACACGCTGCTAGATACACACTATACTAAATGTTGAATCATCCAATATATTTTAGTCTAAAAAGTTTATTTATTTCCCCCTCTGAAATTAATGCACCTAAAATGTCTATTAAATTTTATGATAAATTACTCAAATAGTCATCAAACTTATACCTTATTAACATTTTGGTCCATCAACTAAATTATTCGTTCATATAGTACATCAACTCTACATTATTCGCTCAAGTGGTCCTACCGTCTAATTTTCCGTTAGATTTAACCTAATTTTATGGTAAATAATGACCAATTTGCCATCATATTTAATGGAAATATTGACAGAATGTAACGGTATGACCAATGGAGCGAATAATACAGAATTGATGGACCATTTGAACGAATACTTTAATTGAGGGACCAAAATATAAATCTAGTATAAGTTTGAGAACCATTTAAGTATTTTACCCTAAAATTTGAGGCAATGAGTGCATGCACATAATATGTATTCATTTGTTAACTCATATCATATATCATATGCTTTCTATATATGCGTACTGATCCTTTCAGCACCACACAAAGTTCTTCCATTTTGAATTCATTATCCAATTTACAATTCTGTATTTTATGTAAATCAAGCACACCACCAGTACGTCTCCCTATCCAAGTTTCTTAAATCTTGACTATGCATCTTTCTCCAGCCTAACATCTAGATCTATCTCACCGATCGTACTAATTACGCGTGCTTATATCACTGGTTTTGTAATATCAAACAGCCAATTCTATATCCTGCATGCGATTAATTAGAAGTAACCAAGTTTCTAAATACACCCAATCATGAACAAATAACTCATGCATATATAGCAAAATACGTACAGAATTGAAGATGAGAGTGTACTGTGTACGTATGAGAAGAGTGTGGGGTGTTTGAATCGAGCGGTGGAGATGAGAATGCACATGTTAAGGGGTCAGAGATACTACAAAACTAGGCAAGTTTTGGGTAACCTTTGTGTTTCTTTCCTAAGTACCAAATGTAGCAGCCTAGGGAAGCGCCATTAAGATCCTATGTATCATGCATGTTATTTGTACCTCACCCTATATCTCATTATATAGTTATAGCCTGCATATATATATATAACACATCACATGCACTTACTTTCAGACTCTCAGTTGCATTCAACTTCATCGCCCCCCGCAATTAAGCTAGCTACCATAGAAGTCACATCTACGAATGTCTATTCAAGGGACTAATTTTTGCAGTTTTGCAGGTAAGTAGTTGGCATAAATGCCTTTACAATTATCCATTTCCGTAGCTTAACTAATTAAATCTGTGCTCATATCACAGAGAGAGAGAGAGAGAGCTTCTTCTCCTTTTGGAGTGTAGTACTGGAATGCCTACCTGCCAATTGGTAATGCATGAGATCCAAAAGCTTATTTGCAACCAAATCTGGACCACCCCATGCCCTCTCCTTTCTCTCTTTCTTTTTATTTTATTCTACTCATTTTTCTCTTTCTTGACAGAATATTTTTTGAAATAAAGAAGATTTAAAAGATAGTTTGGTTAACCAAACACGAAACCTAGTTCGTCCCATTTTCATCCGGCAAGAGAACGGATAAACGGGAAAAAGCGGCTTCGAGTTCACCACCACTCAGAAAGGGCATTCAATATCAACCCAGATATCATACAACACTCATCTATATATATATATACTACAAGAGAAAATAGTATAAACTAGTCAACCAAATTATAAACATAACATAAACAAACAATTTCTGTGCGCACATATCCAAATGCATGCGGCACAAACCAACCACACCACCAAAACCAAAACAAAATTAATGGTTTAATTCAATTCTAATTTAGATTAATCATTAATGGGGTCATCATCATCGATAACAGTTATCATCAAAGTAATAAAACAACGAAAATCAGAATTGAAATTCGAACAAAACCAAACATCCCCACAAGATATATCGATCGTCCTCATCAATCATAATCATCCTCTCCTCCTCCACTTCCTAGGCATTCTTCTTCTACTTGAGTGCATGATGTTAAATTAAACGAAACTTGAAACCGCAACAATTAAGAACAATTAATATCAGCTGCTAGACTGGGGGGGGCCTTTTTTTTAAAAAAAATTTCTAAGACCTCGGGGGTGGGAAGATTTGCGTACCAGCCATGAAAGCATTGAGTGGAGTTGGGAAGAGTGACGGGTCGAGCAATGTGGTAGATGGGTTTCCACCGTGGCTGGTGGTGCCGGCAGTGGCTGCGACTGTAACCAGATTATGTTGCTGATGATGTGGATGGGCTCCTCCGCCTTCTTGATGATCATGACGGCCTCCTGAGGAGCTTTCTCCTCCTCCAGTACTAGAACTTGGGTAATATTGACCATCGGGGCCTTGATCGTAGAGAAGTCCCTTGAAGACATGGCCTCCGATGTTGACAGCCGTTTGATAGGCGTACTGGTCATCTGCATCGTCCATTGCACTTACTCTTACACAACGGAACACCGCTGGTGAACTCACTTCTGATGGAAATTGTGCCAGTTCCAACCCTAGTATATGTACTCCACCACAACAGAGAAAATTAAATAAATAAGTTTTCTTAAGTAATATGTATTTGAGTGTTAAAAGAAATAAAGAAGAAAGAAAATTCATGGGACATTATTATTTTCGTCAGTTTTACTAACAAACAGTGAAAGAATAAGAATGAAAAGAAGAAAAGCAGAAGAGTGGAGTTGGTGACTGTGGACTATGGAGTTAGCTCGCTAGGTGGACTTTCCCACACGCAAACGATCCATATGGAGATTTGATGGCAACTCCACCTAGCGAGAGTCCAGATTTAATTTCCTCAAGATCCATCTTGCTGTTACCTTGTTTAGGCAACAGACGAGTTTGTTGAACTTTCTTCATGGAGCAAAATTAATTACAGTCCTCTTCAGAAAAGAAAAAAAATACTCTCAAGTTTAATTAATTTATAAATAAAAGCGAAAGCTTTAAGCTTGGGTGAATGGTGATGGTGTAATTTTGTTATATATTTGTTTGTATTGTAAACTACAAGTTTACCTGACGTGTTGGATGGCAAACGAACGCAGGCAAGAGAGCCCGCCCCCCCTTGACTCTCTCTCTGCCTTTTGGGATTGTCTCCTCGAAACTGTAGCTGCTGTTGCTGCTGTTCTTGTTGTTGTTGATTTTGTTGCAGACCAGAGAATTGTTCTTGCCTCTCTCGGCGTTTGGCAGCAGGAACCCAAGTGCTCTTGACGTGGGTTTGGCACTGAAACCCTCGGCTCTTGCAGCAAGTTCTGCACCTCATGTGAGGGCAGTCTTTCTTGGCTTGGTTCCCGCAGTCTTGGCAATTCATGCCGCTGCTGCTCGACCCTCCTAACCCTCCCCCACCACCTTGCCTCATCACCGCGAGTCTCAATCCTGAAGACAGATCATCCGCAGGGACGACGTCGTTGTGGTTGTGGTCGTTGTCGTCGTTGTGTAAGTGTCTTCGGCTGTAACTAGGATCCACTCCAAACGAGTAGTAGTTCAAATTCTGGTGTGGGTGATGATACTGGGAAGGCCATATCTCGAAGCCCTTGTTGTAGATCTCGGCCTGTCCCTCGTTTGATGATCTGTACAAATACAGGTTTCCTCCTCCTCCTCCTTCCACTCTTTCTTGATCTCCTCCTCCTCCTCCTCCTCGGCCCTCTTGTTTGCTGCTGCTTGTTGGAGCTTGATCTCTTCCGCCTAAGCAAAACAAGCCAGCCATTTCTCTGATGACCTCAATTTTGGGTACAAATCCATATCATCAAAATCCTGAGGAGCTTTGGTACTGTGGGGATATTAATTAAGCAGGGTTTGAGCCAGCTTTGCTTTTTGACCTCATTCTCTTAGCTCTGTGACTCTCTGAGTGTGTGTGACCTTGTTACGGGGTTTTGGCAGCTTTTTGAGGGGCAATTGTTGGGAATATTTTAGGGTAAGAATATTAGACAAAAGAACTAGAGGAAGGGTTGGGTTGGGTAGAGTGAGCAACTGGAGGGGTTTTTGAATTGAATTCTACTTCTCTGTGGTAGTTCGAAGCAATAATAATGGCACGGAATTAGAGCCCTGCAACGCCGCCATGGAAACTGCACCCACTCTGCTCTTACTGCTCCTCACTTAACTTAACCCATCTCCCTCCCTTCCCTCCTTCCCTCCTCATTTATGACAACTACTGCGCCAACTTGACAACTCTTTCTCTCTCTCTCTCTCTCTCTCTCATATGCAAGTTTTCTGTGTACGAGTGAGAGAGAAACTGACTGTGAGCGACTGAAAGATCGACTGATGAGTGAGGGGAACCAACAAAAAAAAGATCTGTCACTCGCCAATTCTTCTCTCGGAGTCTTCTTCCAGTTTCAATGAACCTCATCGATCTACCATCGTCGTTTCACCACCCAACGGTCATCATTCCTCCACGTGTCACTACATCAGCTTTTGCTTATTCGTCATAGCACCGGAAAACCCGCTTACCACTTTTTCTGACCAATCCCTATAATTAAGATTTTTTTATTTTTACCCATTTTCAATTTCTCACAAAAAAAGAAAAAAAAAGGGAATCATCCTCCCATGCTCCTTCAAAATCCTCCATCACCAACGTATATCTGCACGCCACGTGTGTACTTTCAATGACATATTGAAATTTATATAAATAGATGGATTGTTTGTAAGAGGAGCGCCCGTGACATTATCCAAGGAATTTCCCATAAAACCAAAAAGAAAGAAAGAAAGAAATAAAAACATTTTGTGAGGTAACGTAATTTCGAGGTTTACGAAATTCTAGGGAAAGCCTCGCCTGTATTAGTTTTCTGATCGTCGGATGCCTCGTATTCCCCTCAAAATTCTTCGCGTAATCATTTTATGATTGACTAATCGATACGAAATTGGGTGTTTTTAGTAATTGCAATAAGGTCAACATCTTTTGATGGGTATATTTAACAGAATTAGGCTCCAAGGGCTGTTCCTATGTGCTGTAGGGCATGCACCCAGATCTATGTTGGTTATATGCCAGCAGGCTCCAAAATCAAGTTTTTCAAACTCATCTCGTTACTTGTACATTTGTCATTACTATTCGTAACAGTAACAAACTCTTTTTACCCAAGGTGATATTCATTTTGGGTAGACACAGATTATACGGCACACATTTTATATGCTAAACGTTGTTAACATGTGATTTGACTGCCGCTTAATCCCAAAATTTCAGAATTGATTAGATTACATGAATGGGATGGGATTAAACCATTGTCTAAATTCATGCACCGTTTTCTCTTCTCTTTTTTTTTTCTTTTTTTTTAAAATGTTGCTGTCACTGGTTTTCAATCCTACTGTTTTCGTGCGCATGACTTTTTTGGGTAGTAGCGCAACAGTTGGTATTGGAATAGTGCTTTTTGCACAAAAATATATGTACAGATGAGACACAAAAGGGTAAGACAAGAAAAATAAAAGAAGAAGGAACAACGAGACACAAAGGTGGTACCGTAATATAAAGAGGTCATTTTTAAGCTTTCTTTAGGAGCGAATACAATACGTTCTATTCTATACTTTTTGGTCCCTCGATTGAAGGGTATGTTTTGCTCTTTCTTTTTATTATTTAATAAAGTTTTTATGAAATTTAGTGGTGAAAAAACATAGGCCAAAAATATTTGACCCCTGAATAATATGGATATTTAAGATTGAAATGAAGAAATCATGGGTTGCCTGCCAATGAGCATGAGGTCCATGACTGGAGATAATTAAGCAGCATAAAGCATTTCGCCAAAAGCTGGGTTTGTAAGAGAAAATGCCTTTTCATCAAAGTAAATCACGTGAAGCCCCCGAATTAGTGCCCACTAATTATTGGATTTCAATTGGTATTATATGAAAAAGTACGGACTCCGGCAGCCTAGTCGTAGTCGCGCCGTACACTGATCTTGAGTGAGGCCTTGATTAAACAAAGAAAAGCTTCCAGGTAATTAGTATTACTACTTTGAAAAAGATTAATTATGCTTTGGTAGTCAAAAAAACATCCCCGAAAATAGGGTAAAAAGTTAGACTAGGGAGCCTTTGCTTTATTCCAATGAAAAATTTGCACCCCAGTCCAGTTGGTGTCCTATTACCATGGAGAGTGTATTAATCTAACATCATTTAGACTATTGGTAGATTTTTGTGTGGAGAAAGCTAAATTGTGCATGTAGCTTTGAAATCAAATCAATTGGGCCACCTAGGTGTTGATGTGGAAATGGGACATTTGGACGAGGAAGACAGTAATCAACCATCGAAATAAATAAAGAAAAAGGTTGAGAAGAATTCCCGGAAAAAGAAATTTTTTTGAATTGATGGAGAGAGAAAAGGGAAGGATGGAGGGGGTTTTAATTAGAGATGTGAATTGATGTGTGGAAGTCCCAATTATTGTGTCTGAGTAGGTCTTTCACTCTCGAGCCCAGTGCTTTCTTCTTCAAGTTGACTCTTCTTCTTTATCTTCTTCGTCTTCTTTCATTTCCTTTTTCTCACTCCTCCTCTCGATGAGCCGGATGTCAAAAGCTCAGTTTTTACCGACAACGGCCATGCTCTAGTTTCCCTCAGCCCCATCCATGCTTCTTAACATCATAGATTAGATAGGCCATACCCAATCCCACGTGGAAAGACCTTTTTTTTTATTTCTTTACATTCATTTACCCAATTACGTAAATGTAAATAGTAGGAACTTGCCTGCCGAATACGTAATTACGTGAATAGTAAAGGTGGGGCCAGTAAGAGTAGATGTAGAGGTAGTCCCCTCCGTATATTGTTGTAACTTGTAGGGTAGGGGTGGGTCCAAGTTGAAGTTGGGGTGGGGTCTCTGTGTCAAGTGCATGTGCCCACTGCCCGACATCATGAGAATTTAGTTTTTTAGGTTGAATTTATAGACGCTAGGTTTGCCTTTATAAAGCAGAGATTATTGGCATATTGGCCGATAATAATATGCCATTATGTCTCACGAAAGGTTACACACCCACATTATATCCTCCCTCTCTTTGCCAAAGGCAGGCTCACTCACTCACTCAGCCTAGAGCAAAACAACATGCGAAATGAAATAATGCAGAAAGACATACACGACTTTAAAAAATAAAAAGAAGAAAAGGAACCAACAGGATGAAAAGGGGAGAAGTGCCTCTGCCTCCTCGGCTTTTGATAAAAACGAAAAGGAACATTCTTTAATAAAAAAGTTTGAATTATTTCATATGATTATAGGATAATGTATTTCTCAATTTTAAGAAAAACTGTGCTTATAATTCAAGTGATAAAGAGCAAACGCTGGTGCATCCGGAGTCCCTCTCCTTTACTATCACTTACACATTTTTAGAGTGTTGTTAAACAAACCATAAAATTAACTAAGTACACCCTATAACCTAAGTACTCCTTAACTTTAAAATCAAAATGTAAAATGAACTAAGAAAAACTGCACTGCAAAGAACTTATAACTTAAGTGATTAAGAACAGCTACTGGTGCACCTGAGCTCTCTCTCCCCAACTATTGCTTACATAAAAATAAAAATGAAATCGGTTCAAACTAACCCAGCAGAAAGGGGACTTGGGCCTAAAGTCTAAAGAGAATGCATATGAAAGAACTAGGCCTGGTAAAAAGGCTTTAGACGGAAACTCAGCGCACGAATCTGGGGAACAGAGGCCCACAACAATAACAACAGGGAACAGGCCATCTCTTTAACCAGGTTAACCCAAGGGAGTTGGTCTAACCCAATTTAGCAGGCTGGCCCAAGGAGAGAAGTGGCCCATAAGAGATTAGTTAAAGTTTAAAGCATACGATTAATTATAAATAAATTCATGACGTAAATTGAACCACCGAAGCGTAGCATTTAAATAGCACATAAATTAGTATACAACTTCAACATCAGGCAACCATAACATGAACTTATTAAACCCATGATCTATATTATCTAGGAGATCAGATCAGATCAGAGTATATTTACAAAAGCCCCCATATATTGTCTAGTGATTGGATGTATGCAGAGACGCAACAGTGGAGACCAAGGAATCCACCCCACAAGGATTATGACCTCTGCAGATCTTGTAATAGCCCTCCTCTCCCCAACTCTGTCCCCATGAGTTCTTCAAGATCCAGTAAGGCTTCTCCTTAAATCGGATCGGAGCAAAACCAGAAGAACCATACCCCACCAGAAGCACTCCATGATCGATACGCTTTCCGCAGATGTAAGGGCATGAAACTCCCTTTACGTATGTTTGCATAAACAGGGCATTGATCCCAACTGCACCCACCGTGCGAAACAAATTCAAGATTCATTGTCATTGTCTCCAGCTACATTGTTTAATTCTACTAAAATGGTACAAGTAAAGGATCAAAAAGAGAATAGAATCCAGTTCTAGGAATGCTAAGCTAAAGTACCTGCAAGTGGGCCATGGTGCACCAAATTTGCAGCAATTTGATCTTCGTCTGTGGAAATAACGCTGAAGTTAGATACAGCAGCAACAACTTTGCTCTTGTCAAATTTGCAGGTATCATCAGTCCCAGTGTAAGGATAGTCCTTCTCTCGCTCTAGTCCACCAGCCTTGAGTGTGTACTCGAATGCATTGTTCATCAGCCCACCATTACACCCCGAGTCGCATGAACCAAATTCTTCTGGATCACACTGCAAAAGGTACAGGCTTTAATATAAGACAATGCCATGGTGACAGTGAAATCGCCGTCTTCCCTAATCCCTGTGTTGAGATAAGGATTAAGGAAGCAACCCAACTTCCCAAATTAACACACACGGACACTTGCAGAGCCTTATCTAAATCTGTGGCTTCCCTATCCCTAATCCCGATGTTGAAAAAAGGATTAAGGTAGAAAGCCGGCTGCCCAAATTAACACACATTGACACTGCCTCTACCACTAGTACATGTCAAAGTCAGTTTTTTTCTGCACCATGAGTGTTTACCAAACAGCATACTGTCTCAAACAACAAATAGTTCTCTTAGTTTACGGTATCTACAATAAAAATCAAATATTCAAATGCATGTCATATTGGAAAAGTAAATGGAAGAACAAAAACTAGAGAATTTATTCTAACACACCAGAAATCGTCAGAGACACTGCAATACAGTCAAATTCATACACTGAATGAAGCAACTAGCTTTCAGGGTTTGTTCAACTCAATTAGGAAAAGTTTCATACTTTTAAGTATAGCAAAGATCAACAGATTATTCATTCTCTTAGCAAGGTAATCAAGGTAATTAATGGTAAAAATGTAAAAGAGTAGAACCTCATGGTCGCAGTCCACAAGCTGCTGCTCACTCAGACTCAAGAGCTCCCCTGTTTCCAAATAATGAGCTCCTTCCAAAGCTCCCGTCGCACTAAATGCCCAGCACGACCCACAAGACCCCTAATTTCACCGTCCACCCCCCGAAAACAAAGTTAACAATCAATAAACATACCAAAAACAAAACCAAAAACCAAATATATATATATTTACCTGGTCCTTCACCGGTGTGACAGCACCTTTGTCGCGCCAATCGAAGTCGGTGGGAAGATCATTGGTAGGAAGGATGGGAGCCTTGTTAGCGTCTGATGGCAGCCGGAGACGCTTTAGCCCGAGAAAATTCCGGCGAAACTCCGACGGAGTGAGATCGGAGAACTTTGTGACACCGTGGACGGCAGTGGGGTCGAGCCCCTGATGGCGCTTGGCTCGGCGCAGGTTCGCCTTAAAGACGCCGAACCTGTAGTCGTGCTCCTCTTGAGTGGCGTAGGTCCTTCCGAACGTAGCTTTGAAGCTGGAGAAGTGGCGCTCGGCGTGGAGGAGTAGATTGTCGTTGGCTTCCGGTACGACTTGTTCGATCAGAGGGTCAGCGTCGTTAGGAGTTACGGTGGACGCGAGCGCAGAGGTCAGGAGAGAAAGGAAGAGGAGGGAGACGAGAGTGGTGGGACGATCCATTGCTAGTGTGTGCGAATGCGAGGAGCGTTGAGAAGCATTGAAATGAAGGGATTTTATTGGATTTTTCAGAGATATCGGATATTTTGGGGATTGGGTGTGCTTCCCAGAAGATTGTAACTTTGTAAACACGTGGTTTGTTTTGGTTCGTATGTTTGTCTCCAAGTTGAGCTACAAACCAAATACGAGAAAGAGAAGGGTTGGTTCCCTTTGCTACATACGACTTTTTGGTACATGGTGATGGCTTCTACTCCATTATGTTGCTTGTCATCTAGCGTCCCTCCATACAAATGTCCCCTTCCTAAATTTAATTCATTTTGTTTAATTTGAATTATAAAATTAGGCCAGAGATGCTCAAAAAACTGGAGCCAACACTTTTTTTATTTTTTACGAGTGATATTCTAAACTACTTTAAAGTATGGAAAGAGAAACGACTCGAGTGTAATAGAACAAACATACTCCCTAGATCAACCGACTTAACCAACATTTGTAAAATCCAACGTATTAAAGGCATGTCATATTGGGTTGTCATACTACATACAAGTATTGGGCTGTGCAACTGGTGAACTTAAATCCGAATGGGGCAAATCGGCCCAATTCGTGTTAGGTAGTGTTCGGGGAAGCCCAACTTAATTTTGGGCCTACTTGGGTAGCCCAACTTTGAGCATACAAAAGAACCAACAAAGGAAAAGGCGGGACAGGTTCCGAGTCTTCTGACCCAAGAGTGCAAGGTAATTACCAGACGCCAACACAAACGCGGTGTTTTTCGTAATTCTATAATTACTTTTACCGCCTGCTTTCGGGGGGTATAGATCAGGCGTACACAAGCCTACGCTATCCCAGAGATTTATTGGTTGCAATCGGGTAAAAGTCAAATAACCGACGATATTCTTCTCTTTCAACTAACAGTTCGACGACACGTACAAAGATTGCGTGATTTAAAGGCTGCTGTGCTTTGGGGTTAATTAGTTAAGGCAGAGGCGCAAAGGCAAAGAGAAGAGAGCGTCTCCCTTTCTTACAAATTTTGACTTGCGGTTAGCTTTGGGGGTCTCTGGTCAGCCAGAAAGAGCAACAATCCCTAAGATTTTGGGAGGTTTTGAGAAGTGAGGCAAGTGGGACGATGGAGGAGGAGCGTGGTAATGGTAGTAGTAGCAGCAGGAACTTGGACACAGGGAAGGCCGAGAGCCCGGTGTGGCTGATGAAGTGCCCGGTGGTCGTAGCCAAGTCATGGAACTCTCACAATCCCTCTGATCCCCACCCTCTCTCCAAAGTCGTCCTCTCTCTCGATCCCCTCCACGCCGACGACCCCTCTTCCCTCGAGGTTCTTATTACTTTTTTTTTGCAATTCGATCGCTTTTCTGAGTATACTTGGTGCGCTTTCGGAGTTCTTGTTATGAATTTGTTAGTTAGTGCTAGAATTTTGAACATTTTAGCTTCAACTCAATTACCTTGCAGCTTAAGCTTAATTGCTACTTATTCTTTGGTAAACCCTAATTTCTGTTGTGCTCGACGACTGATTGCTTGTGTTTTTGTGATCATAGTCTCATTCTTACAACTTGATTGATTGGGGTTTTGTAGCTCGTATTGATTTCAAAACCGAATGCTTCTTCCTTTCTATTCTCCATTGATTGTTTGCTTATGCTCTCTAATTTTGCAATCAGTTCAAAATGGAGATGGCTGGCAGCAGTGGGGCTGCGAATTTGCCTAAAAGTTATTCCTTGAATATGTTTAAAGACTTCGTTCCCATGTGCGTTTTCTCCGAGACAAATCAAGGTGAGGATCAGGAATTACATCTTCTGGCACTCATCCTATTTATACTTTTTCTTTCGTAAATACCTAATGTAATTCTTCTTTTTTTGTTTTAATAATGCACTTTCAAGCTAATGTTTCAACTTTGTGTTGATTGCAAACATTTCTTCTCTTTCATGATGGTGTTTGTGATTTCATGATATGTCGGCATGATTTTAGCACTGATGGCGCTGTGCCTATCCTAAGTAGCGAGATTTCTTATATTTGACCATGGCACATTAAACAAATATGGAAAAAAAATTGGGTTTTGGGCTGTTGAAATTGATTGGTCGAAGACGTATGATGTATCTCTGTTGTAGATTACGAATATGTATGCGCGGGTATCCAACTACTTAGGCTAACCTGTACAACGTTATTGCCTAATTGCTCTATCTATTATCTAGCGCCATTTTGTCTATCAAATCCTATGTTATGACTGTGCCTTTATCTTTCCTCAACCATTTTACTAGCCTTTATCTCATAGTTGTAGAACGTTTTACTTCTTCACCCTTTTATTGTAGTAAAAAAATCGTCTTCATTTTAGGCAAGGTTTCTATGGAAGGGAAAGTAGAGCATAAGTTTGACATGAAGCCCCATGGTTCAAACATTGAGGAGTATGGAAAGTTGTGTCGTGAAAGGACAAACAAGTCAATGATCAAGAATAGGCAAATACAGGTAGCCATTATCTGCCATACGTTTCTGAGATAGCAGCTCTTGTTGTATATGAATAATTGATTTTATTTGTCTCTCTTGTTGCTTTAATTCATTTTAAAGGTGATCGACAATGACCGAGGAATACATATGAGGCCCATGCCTGGTATGATTGGCTTGATTTCATCCACTTCCAAGGTATCAACTTCCTTCCTAATCATTCTTTGCACAAACTACACCAAAACAAGGAATAAGTTCTTGAATTATCTATGGCAGGATAAGAAGAAAACTCAACCGGTTAAACAATCAGACATGAAAAGGACTAGAAGAGACCGTGGGGAACTGGAGGATATCGTGTTCAAGTTATTTGAAAGACAACCAAATTGGACTTTGAAGCAGCTTGTGCAAGAAACCGATCAGCCTGCTGTATGTCTCTTAGCTGTTTGCTTATGCTTAGCTAAATGCTATACTCAGATTTTGTAACTTCGTAGTAATTTTTGCGATTTAGAATTAGTTTGTTTTATGAATAGCTCAAATCTGTACATAAATGTCTTTGCATTGGGTTAGAAACTTATTTCATATTGTGTTAACTGAACAGTGGCTACATTTTTTAAATGTTCTCTTCATGTGCAGCAATTCTTGAAAGAGATACTGAATGAGCTCTGCGTGTACAATAAAAGAGGAACTAACCAGGGTACTTATGAGCTTAAGCCGGAGTACAAGAAATCTGTTGAGGATACTGCTGAATAAGTTTTTCTCTCTGCCTAGTTTAGCACCCTCCAATTTTTCTTGGGAGAACAGGTAGTTCAAGATTAATCAGCAAGAAGAAAGGGTTGCCTGTCGGTGTGGGGGCGACAGAGTAACACCATCAACAAGAACTGTAACATGGGAGGCAATAGTTTACTTTTTATTTTCCTATATTTTTTTTACAGCCCGAAAGGTGCAGTTATAAACTTATAATGTTTGTTTGATCTGACAAGAGACGGTTAAATGTTTCCATAAACAGATAAACTTACTAGGCAAACGTGTGATTTGAAATTAGCTTGTACATTAAAACATTCACCAAGGATTTTAATTGAAAAATTTGAGAACAGTTTTGATACTTACTGGACGGGTGCATATCACTTCGAATATCCATCACCCATTTAAAATTTCAAAATAAATGCATGGAGCTTGTAGTTCAAGTCGTTAATTTCCGAGGTTTTGGATTCGAATTATCCTCCCCGTATAGATACATCATTACAATTTACATACACGAGATGAATGCCCCTCCCCAAGTCCGTGTGTGGTTTCTTCTCCTCATCCAGTTTTTGAGGACCTCTCTCATCTTCCTTTCTTCGGACACGTCAGGCCAACTTAAGGATGGGCCCAGACTAATTCAACATTTGGGCCTGAGATTTTGGTCCAAATTCGATCAGCCATTCTTTCAAAGGCGAGTACGCGCTAATAAACTGGGCTAGTCAATGGGTATGCTTTTCTACATTGATACTGCAACATTTTCTGATATAAAATTAACCCGAAAGGGACAAATGATCAAACCCTAATTTCAATGCAAAACTCAGTGGAAGACTTGAATTATTGGGAGGCCTTGGAATGCGACCTGTATCTCAATCAAGCAAGCAAATGAAGACGATCGAGGGTCACTTTTGCATTGTCTTTCTTTCTTTGGACCTTTTTTTCCCTTTCAATGAATGAATAATGAGTTTGTATGAATATGGAATGCGAAACCTAACTGTTTGAAAATTAAAGCAGCGGCCGCCACTAGACCAACATGTAGATTTGCTATTCAAAATTTTATGATGCCCACGCTATATACTATACCTTTTTTTCTTTCTCGAATATCATCATTCCGTGCTAGCTGCACGTTATTATTTATACGCACAAATGCATATACAGATATTATTCATCATGTCAAGTCAAACAAATCGTTAGAATCTTTCATATATATATGTATGCAGGTCGGTTTCCCAATCCATGTTTATTATTTTAATTAATTACTTTACTAGTAGTATGTGTAATGTGTGTGTGAGATAATAGAAACCCTAATCCAATATTTCATGCATGGGTTACGGTGTGATTAGACTAGTGGGAGTCTTAACAACAAGGGAAGATTTCTTGGTAATTGACATTTATAAAGACGTGACAAAATAAATGAACCCCACAGTACTGTGAGAGTGGATGTTTCAATATAAATTGCATGAAGATACACATTATTTAATTAATTATGCCTAGCTAGAATTAATGACGTCGATCGAGGCCTTGTCAATTCTCAGGCACCAAAGGCCACTGATTTCAGCGTGTACAGGAGCAAGAAATTGACCAACCAGGAATCTTGTTTGTCACCTTTGGAAGATTTTAAGAGAAAACTTTAGCACCACAAAAGTAAGATTCCAATACTGTCTATCTATCTATCTTCTCATTCTCAAACAACATGATCAACTGAGCCAGCCAGCGATCGAGGCATCAACTTGTTCATGGAAATGCACTAGTTAGTGGGTTGGGTTGGGATAGCCCAGCTTTGGGACCCTTCCTTTCTCATTAATGGTGCAATTCATAAAAGCGAAGGCTAATGGGAACTCGGTCGCTCCCATGAACGTGGATGCCAAAAGTGGCAAACCAATTCATGGAGAGAGAGATATATATGTATTGAGGCATTTATTAAGATAAAGTTAAACGAAACCATTTCATGCCCTAATCACCCCCAAAAAAAAGAAAGTCAAAAAGGAGAGAGCCAACTTGACTTTGATGGACAGCTTTTAATTAGTATGTTATAGATGTTAATTTGACACGCAATTAATTCATGATAATCTACATGATCATGTCTAATCATGCAGTAAGTTTCTCAAAATAAATATCCGTGTTAATTAGCTCCATCCATCCAGCCCTAGCTAGCCCTTTACAATGTTTGCACACAGTGCAATTAGCGGTGGGTGGAATCACTTTTGTGCCAAAAGAAAAGAGCCAAACAAAAGCAATAAAGAATCAGTACTAGTGGGTTTATCTGATACAAGATATGAAAAAGAAAACAACCAAGAACCAACCCACATAAAGCTTCAGAGATCTTTCCAAACGAGGGATTAATCGGTTTGCCTTTATCTCTCATTCCAATTTTAATTTACCAAACATGCACACAGAGTTTTCTTCTTCTTATTGTCGTATTCTACTGATTCGTTTTGGAAGATTGTATATGATCATTCCAAGAACCACAATGGCCCCCCCTCCCCAATAATTTAATAACCTCAACTTGCATGTTCATAGCTATACATATAGAAATCAGAGAGAGAGGGACAAATTATAAATTACTAATCCAGAAGAACAATTGAAGAAAGAATCAAACCCGGAATTTCAGCATCTCACTGGGACAGTCGCCCACAGCAAGTCATATCCTAGTTCAAATCATCATCACCTTATAAATTGTACATGCATTAGTTGGATATCAATTGGATCAGAGGCTTTTAAATATAAGTGGGTCTAGTTTTGGTTGAGCGGCGGTTCAAATATAATATCTGTCTGGCAATATTTTAGATGCCAAACATATGTTTTATGCGCATTTTTTAAACCAACAATTAATTAAAGTTGAGACAATAGCATCAGACTAAAAGAGAAAGCATGAAACACGTCCAACCATGACCACAGCATTACCCCAAGCCCAAAGCTTTTAAAACTTGTTGGTTCAGAGGCCTTGAACGTGGCTTGAAATGTTTCATTTTAATTACTTTGCCAAGTGATCCTCTTTGTAATGGTGCATTCAAGCAATGATCCACATCTATCACAGAGAGAGAGAGAGAGAGAGAGAGAGAGAGAGAGAGAGAGAGAGAGTATAACCCTACCCTAGCTTGCTAACACTGAACGCGACGTAAGATAAGAATTGCGTGATTGGCCTAGCATTGTCCATTTTGACTAGATGGCAAAGGTACCTGTGGGAAAAAAAAAGAAAAAAGAAAAAAAAAGAGACATGAGAAGATTCATTCATATTGTCTCGAAAGTGCTAAACATTACTTTGAATTCATTCGATCACTCTTTTGCATTCGACCAGTTGGTTATTGCTGCCTCCTAAATTTTTCCAACATCTTAATCATGGGGTTTTCCCTTGATTTATGTGATCAAATGGGTTAATCAACGTTAATTGCATCTGAAGAACATCATTAGTAGTGGTAATAATGCGAATTAATTCGAATGATCTGCTCCCGTACAATATGCATATGGCTGTCTAGAGGATGCACGGTATATATAAACACCCTAGCTGTCAACGTGCCACGTGTTCTAGATGCACATGTAATGTTGGTGTCACCACCATGTACGCAAATTCATCCAATCCATATACGTAAAGCTCGAATTCATCTTATATATGTTATATAACAGAATATATAGAAGCCCAGAAAGAAAAGCTCCCCTGCCCAAAAGTAAACAGATGGTAACATTATACACAGCCTTAACATAAAGGAAATACAAATACAATGAAAAGGAGAGCACTATTTTCCGCAGCAATAATTACTGGATCCACTCACACAAATTCAATATTATTCGGCCTTCAAAAATAGCAGCTCCAAAGCAAAAGATTCGTAGCCATAGGAAAAAAAAATTAGCATTGTTTTGGTATTCCCGTCCAATAAATGTTATATCACGTGGAAGTATTATCATGTGTGTCAGATTGTCAGTATTATTCACCAAATGCTATCACCGTTTCATGGAAATCTTTATCTAGCTATAGGGTATATATATGCATCCAGCATATCCTTGATACTCACATTCTTTTTCCTATTAAGGCAGAATCATATAGTGTAAAACGAAAGTCCACTGCATACTTATGTACTACTTGCCCTACCCAACATTTTCGAATCTCTCGTTTTAGGCTCAAACTTTGCTTAATTTGCATCCTATAAATTGAAAGAAAAGAAAAGGTTGATCGTGTTGTGTTTAGCTTATAAAGGAAAAAGATAAAGAGAAAAAAGAAAAGAAAAAGAGTATATTTTAATGAGTCAAAACCGGAGAGAGGGAGTCGACCAAACACTGGGCAGGAAGATTCTCTCGTGCAAACAAAATCTAATTTTAGCTGTCAGTCATGTAATTATGCAACTGCAAAGAGAATGGAATTGAGCAAATGCAATTAGCATCACAACTGGCTTGGTCAGGGTGGTGTCCGACCGGTTCATGCAGGCCGGGTCAGACCCCCGTCCTTCTCTTCCGAACCTGTAGCTTTTTACAATAATAAAATAATACTGATTACAAAACCCTGCTGTCAGATAGAAAGAAGTACCTTTTAACGATCAAGAGATTATATATAATATATATATTGTTACTTACTGGGGCAGGCCTAGGCCTTGTTTTTCTTTTGAAATAGAGGAGAATGATGGTGGTCTCAATTGAGGGGAGGCAACCTGTCTCTTAAAGCGAGGAGGCTTCATATCAATGAGGATATATCACTATTGATCCAGCCAACTTTGGGAGTGGCCAGTCACCAGTCGGAATAATATTTACTCGCTCGCTCAGTGTCAGTGGAAAGAAAGAAACACTTTGATATTTTTTTATTTTATAAAACAAAAGATATCATAATAAAGACGCTTTAATTCTCTACTTCATGATTAATTAACGAAAGACCACCATTAGTTTTTCTTGGTTTAGTTTATATTCGAAAAGAAGGATAATCAAGGAGCTAGAAAAGATGGATTCTTCCTGTTGGCTATTACTTTTCTCTTTTTGAAAAATATACACTGCCTGCCATATATATGGATATGGTCCTGCATCTCTATCAAAGTGGCGTATATTTTTTGCTTACCTTTTTCCTCATCAAATCTCAATTCTCAACCGACGGTGGACCACCCTCGTCCAAAACAAGGCTTTTATCCATCCCATGATCTTAAATCTTAACCACCATTTCAACCGAGGGTGTTCTCTCTCGCATTCTCTGCAAATGAGAAGACTATACTCGTTAGGTACGTAATGCAACTTGAGATCATCATCACATCAAGGATATCCTTAGTGCCAACAAAGGTTTGATACCTGTACGGCGGATATAAATTAATCGTGTAGGCAAGTTTCATGCTCTAGGGAACAGTAAAACTATTAACTAATACAGATAAAAT